GGCCGTTATAAAATCGAGAGACCGAACGCGCCTACCGATTCCACCCTGGAGCACATCTTTACCGTACTACGCATGGATTGTCGTGCAATCTTTTTTCTCTTATACCTCTATAGCTATTTTGATGATTTTTGCTAATTGGTACTAGACTTTTTTGTTTGTCTTAATGAGTTCTACGCCTCCTTTGCCGGTAGCTTTCAGTTACCTCGCACTCTATATATATTTTAACTCTAATAGTAATAGAACGTAATATTATAATAGAGCTTGTCTAGGTTCATCAGAATCGCGAATAAAAAATAAACGTTAAACTGAAATGATTGTAAAAAAACAACATAAAGAAATCGATAAACCGATAGCTTCGAACATACTAGTATCGTTACAGTATAATTATGTGTATCGTAAGTTTCCTCTAAACTTTTAATAAAAAAATTATGGAAACAAAACCATCATTGTCCATTTTATCACTATATTTCTTACCTGCAGTACATTTTTCGTAACAGTTATCATCGTTTACAATTACTTGCTGTCGTGGTTATCTATTTATGCGACCTCTGAATTAAATCTGTCAATGTTCCCATATGTATATATTTTTATACTACTCACAGAGAGTGTTCCTCCTCTTCCCCTTCTTTCTCTTCTATCTCCTCTTCCCCCTCTCTCACTTCTACCACCATCTCTATCTCCCCCTCCTTCTCCTCTTCTCCATTATTTTCAACATAATTTTCGCTTCTGTTCAATAGATCATGATTTTCTGCTCTAATTGTTCATGGTTAACACTTGTATGTACCGACATCAATATCTCAGGTTCGTCAACGTTCACATTGTTATCAGCCATATCTATTAAAAATAGAAAATATAAGTAAAATCTTAACATGAAAAATTACTTCCTATTAATTTTTTATATATTACCTTCTGCTATATTTGAATCATTATCTACTGACTTTTTACCTCTATTTAATTCATATATCTTATGGCTTATGTGCATGCCAACTTGTTGCAATTCATATTCAATGGCTACCTCGTCATATCCCATTTTATTGGTTAGCCAATATCGGAGAGCATCTAATATGCAAATTATTATTTTGTATATTTCTTTCAGAAACTTTTAAATACGTGTTCGTAAAATATTTTATGCGGAAAACGACCTAATCTAAGTTTTAGTTTCCTAATAATCCAGATAGGCAAATCCGCACGAGTAGATTTCGAGCAAAGCCTCTGCTATCAACTTTTGATGGCAAATAGGCAACAAATTTGATGCAAGATCTGTTATATCAGATTTTGCGTCCCGAATTAGATCTAATAAATTAAGCCTGAGTTGGATATCCTTGTTCTATCTAACATTATTGTCGCAAATAACTCATTCTACATTAGTCGTAAGACACAGAACATAAGTCGCAAAACTTCACTAATCACAGTCAGATATGAGGAGAACACTTGACTTTGATTCGTTAATTTCTATAACTTACGTTTTCTGTCTTGCAATTAAGCCCGGGTATATAATAGGTGTCGTAAAGTTGTAAGTTTTAAGAAATTGACACAGCCCATTATTCTTCTCATATTTGACTACGTAATTGTAATCGTAATTGATAAATTATTTAAAGCTTAAACCTTAGTAATCTTTTGTAGACCCGGACTAATGCAGAATAGGCTGAAGAGCTAATCATGTGTCTTGATTCTGTTAGATACAACAGGATATCCAACTTATATGCTTAACCATCAAATGTCGTTTAAGATAAATCCATGCTCACGAGTGTACGAATAATATGTATTATACATATATTTTTATACATAACGGATCACTGCTATAAAATGTGCCATTTTTTATAACTTAAACACATCAGTTTTCTACATTTCTACAAAGCTCGGAAAGTTGCTCTCTACAACAGCTCATACTTTCTAAAATATGAAGAAAAAATTATAATATGATAATACCTTTTATAGCTAACAATTTAGTTGGGTTCAATTTTGGACGGGGTTGTTTCTTGCTTTTATTTCTTATCCTATTAGATTGTGTCCCTGTTACTGAACTGTATCTTAACACGGTAGTTCCGAAAACAGCAATTGCTATGTTTTTTACAAACATTGCACATGACTTGCTAATTGCAACAATACTGTCATATTGACAATATGTTATCCAAACATCATGGCCAAGATATATCTAAACAAATACAATAATAAATAAATAAATAAATTATCAAAAAAAGATTACTGGGATTGATCATCTTTTCTACTAAACTCATGAAAAATTTAAAATTTCATAGATGAATAAAAGTTAAATTGAATTATTCCCTTTTCACGAGCTCACACTAGAGACAAAGATTTATAACTGACGCCCTAAATATTAATATTGATAAAAAGGCAATACCAAATTTTTTTCTACACTCCTGTATCCTACGGGTAATTCACTGGGATTTGTATGTTCTCTTTCGGCATTCTCTTTTTTTGCATAAATCTCTTACAATAGCTGCAATGTTTATACGAAAATAGTACATAACAAACTAAAATTCTTTTTATTATCACTAAAATTATGAAAAATCTAATATATATATATGTACCTTTTAGTTCGTCAAAATCATCTATTACATGTTTCTGCAGTGACATATTTAATCCTATTACATCCTTAAAGACATCATCCTTATTTCGTATGGTTTGCTTCAATTTGAAATTTTCTGAACGAAGTATTTCGTTGTTTGATTTTAAATCGTGTATCTAAATATTTATAATTGTCAATAATTTAATTTTGCAATAATTGTGCTTACTGCGGCCGCCCTCCGCTCTCTACGCGCTCGTTGGCTCACATGTTTTAATTAATAACTCGATAACTATTGCCAATTTGACATTATGGTACATGACTTTTCTTCTCGGCTACACCCAATCGATCTCCAACTTTCGTCTGCATGATCAGCTATCAAACACCCTGTATATTGGTTAATGCTGAATGTATATAATACATTTCTTTTGTAGCGTATGCTCTTACTTATAATGCTAATGATATTGTTTATAATGTAATTGTCAAGGTTGTAATGATTCTATGATTTTTAGCAATGAACGTAACATATAATATTATATACCCAGTGAATAATCTATTAGCAGTCTGTTAGCAGATTGCCTGATTATGTTTTTTGCTTTCTTTATGTATTATGCATGCTTACTTTTGGGTCGATGTACAGAAAATATATTCAGATATCCACATTTCAAAAGCAAATTATGCACAGTATCTGCTACAGGACTTTATAAGTATCTTGCTATCAGACATACTAATAACATCTGTGAGCTGAGTATGACAACAGACTGATAGCATGAATGGAGCAGAGAATCTGTATATTTATGAACCTCTCGACAAATCTTTATTGAATCTGTAACCAATCTGCCAGCAAACTGTTAATAAATTGCTTACTGGGAATATAATATCAGGTGTAGTAAAAAGAAATCCATTATTTTTCCAATAGATGGCTTTAGTTATCTGTATCTCGCGTTGTATAAGTTCAACCGGGTTCCATTAGATGGCGTTAGAAAGATGAGATTTCGTACTAAAAAAACTTTTCTGACAGTTTTGTGATTAGTTGACTCAGTTTTGTTTGAGCGCGCGTCAAAGATGGATACTAGCAAAGAGAAAATACGCTATATTTAACAGTTTTTCTTCGATAAAGGCGAAAACGCAAGCCAGGCGGCTGAAAATGTGAATAGTGTTTATGGTCCTGATACTGTAACAGCCAATCATGCGCAATTTTGGTTTCGTCGATTCCGTTCCGGTAATTTCGATGTCAAAGATGCACCACGCACTGGAAGGCCAATTGTCGAAAATATCGATAAAATCATGGACATTGTCGAGTCCGACCGTCATGTAAGCACTGTTTCGATTGCCCAAGAGCTAAAGATTGCACAAAAAACCGTTTGGAACCATTTGAATAAGGCTGGATACAAAAAGAAGCTCGATGTATGGGTGCCACACGAGTTAACGAAAAAAAACCTCATGGACTGAATTTCCATCTGCGAATCGCTGCTGAATCGCAACAAAATCGACCCATTTCTGAAGCGGTTGGTCACTGATGATAAAAAGTGGATCACTTACGACAACGTCAAGCGAAAACGGTCGTGGTCGAATCGCGGTGAGCCGGCGGAAACGGTGGCCAAGCCAGGATTGACGGCCAGGAAGGTTTTGCTGTGTGTTTAGTGGGATTGACAGGGAATTATCTACTATGAGCTGCTTCCCTACGGCAAAACTCTTAACTCGGAACTGTACTGTCAACAATTGGACCCTCTGAAGGAAGCAATCGCCCAGAAGCGGCCAACTTTGGCCAATAGGAGAGGAATTGTGTTCCATTAGGACAACGCCAGGCCACACACATCGATAGTGACTCGCCAGAAGCTCCGGGAGCTTGGTTGGGAGGTTCTTATGCATCCATCTTATAGTCCAGACCTGGCACCAAGTGATTACCATCTGTTCCTGTCCATGGCGAACAATTTTGCTGGTGAAAAATTCGCTTCAAGAGAGGCTTGTGAAAATCGACTGTCTCAATTTTTTGCCAATAGGGACGAGGGCTTCTATGAGAGAGGTATAATAAAATTACCTTCAAAATGGCAACAAGTTATCGAACAAAACGGCGCATATTTGACCTAAATCGGATCATTCTAACTATGGTAATTAAAGCCTTCAATTTCATGCAAAAATAATGGATTTCTTCTTACTACACCTGATATTATTTATCACATTGTGTAAGAACACATGTTTATTAATACATGATATCATAATGTTATTTATTACTACAATATTACATTAATATTACTACAATATTACATTAATATTACTACAATATTAAAATAGCATAATATGGATCTGTACTAAGAAATCCACATAACGCTATTTCAATATTATTATTCAATATTATAACAATATTGTTGCAATTGTGATATTATAAATTAATAAACATTTTTGTAATGTATTGTTAATTGTGATATAATGCAAAAATTTTATTTTCTATTTTGACATGTGCTTATTGTAGTTGAATAAACAAAAGAGACATGATGCTTCGAAAGAAACAAGTACTGAAATTCTGAAAGCTTATATGAATGCATTTAAAGGAGAAATAGGAGAAAAAGGACAAGAAAGAACTGAAGGATCTTCTATGTGTTGATGAAGATAAAAGTACAAAACATGCATATGGTGAAACAAGTAAAGTCGCATTTCAATTATTTGCGTATGCACATATAATTCTTTTATATTATTTTTGTTACAATACTCATTTTTTCCATTATATTACAGCATCGCTATCAAGTGATGAAAATGAATATATAAAAAAAAGAAAAATGAATGTCGAAAATTTTACGCCAGGTAAGTTTGTACTGTGTATTATCTTGCACGATATGTTTTTAATATCATTAAACATTTTTATAGTTTTATCATGGACTTCGACACTACAAAAAGCAGAAAGAAACGTAAGTTATACATAACAGAAAATGAGTTAAAACGGAGAAGCAAAGTAAAACTTTTATTTCATAGGAGCAGTAGTACTAATGACAAATATGCAGAACTTCATAATTATATTGTTGTTGCAATAGAAAAACTGCCTATGTATATTTTTGTAAATTGCCAATAGTATCATATTCAGAATTCAATTACGCATTTGGTGGCACAAGTATTTTGAATTTCCCAAAAAATGTACACAGGATGCAAATTTTCACCGCAGCGATGATGTTATTTCAGGTTCCTTCATGTTAGAATGAAGTTTCGCAAATTTGTCATAAATTGTGCACTACATTCCTATAAAATAACATAGTATCATATTTTACACACTGCGCCATTTAGTATCATATTCTTTTAATATACATTATTTATGATGATTGATTTAAGGAACGTATTTCATACAAAATTTCATAACATTATAGACGTATACCAGCGTATCTAATGCAAAGGAAGTGGAACAGGAAATTGACGGTATCGAGCATTCAAATTTACAGTCACCACAGACAGAAACAATTGTTGCAGAAGTTTCCGATTCGACACCATTAACTGAAGCAACAGCGAAGCAACTAATTGCTTTATTAAACGTTGTGATAGGGCAAGGTAAATCGATATATTAATATTACAAAAAAGCATGTATACTATTAAATGATATTTTCTACATTTATGTTTTATTCTATTTTTACGATACTTATGTTACATAGTATTGGGTGAGTGCAAAAGTTCGTGCGGAGTTTCAATAGATGGAGTTATAAGCGTCATAAAGTGTTGTCATTAATACTTCCATCTACATATTATATAACGTTGGAAAGGTGACGTCTTCAGCTGTTATTAAAAAAAAATCATTTGTTTTCATACAAACTGCTTCGAGAAATATCACTTTAAAAATGAGTATCGATAAGGTGCATTTACGGCATGTTATGCTTTACGAGTTTCGGAAGGGAATAAACGTTGCCGCAGCCGTAAAAAACATTCAGGATGTTTATCAGGATGAAGCACCAGCTAAACGAACTGTGGAAAAATGGTTTGCTAAATTTCGGCGCGGAGAATTTAACCTTGAAGACGAGCCACGCTCTGGTCGACCTTCTGACATTGATGACGATGTTTTGCGTACTTTAGTGCTCAATAATCCGCGAATTTCAACAGAAGAAGTTGCTACAGCACTAAACGTTGACCGATCAACCGCTTTTCGGCGTTTAAAAAAGATGGGATTCGATTTGAAGCTCGATATATGGGTGCCCCATTTGCTGACCGAGAAGAACAAAATCAAGCGAATTTCTGCAGCCGTTTCTTTACTCGGGCGGCTCAATAACGAGTCGTTTTTGGATCGACTAGTGACGGGCGATAAGAAATGGGTCCTCTACAACAATGTTCAGCGCAAACGGACATGGAAACAATCAGGTGAGCATGGTGACGCAATGCCAAAGGCCAGTTTGCACCCGATGAAGGTGATGCTCTCTGTTTGGTGGGATTGCAAGGACATAATCTATTTCGAGCTTCTCCCCGCTGGCGAAACGATTGATTCGGACAAGTACTGTCGCCAATTAACCAATCTGAATCGAGAAATAAAAGAGAAACGTCCGATTTTGTCAAATCGCAAGGGAGTCGTCTTTCATCACGACAACGCCAGATCACACGTTTCGAAAAAGACGCTGCGCAAACTGAAGAGCCTGAAATGGGATGTCTTAACGCATCCACCGTATTCTCCTGATATCGCACCATCTGTTCCGGTCACTTGTTCCGGTCATTGCAAAATTATTTAAATGGAAAAAACTTTGACTCTTTGGAGGCCTTAAAAAACGGCGTCTCTTCGTTCTTCGAATCTAAACCGCGCAGTTTTTATGATCGAGGCATCCGTATGCTGCCAGAACGTTGGGAAAAGATTATAGAAAACGATGGAGAATATATCATATCATTGATTGAATAAAGATTTTTGTTTGCCTAATCACTGTGTGACTTTTACTCACAAACTCCGCACGAACTTTTGCACTCACCCAATAAAATAATGTTAAATTTAATGAAAACAGTTATATATTTATTAAATGTAATTCTAGTTATTAATGTTACATATATATTATATAATTTTACAGGAAAACTGCCTTTGATGAATGGCTGCAACGTAAATAAGGAAGAATCAAACATAGAAGCAATTGGCCAAGATATCCACTTAGGTCACAACATTTCAGTGACAAAAACAGCGTATGAAGAAATACAAAGAGTTAAAGAGCCTAGTAAATTTGTTACAAATCTTGCTTATGCTGTGTGAGGATACAAAACATTATGTTCTCGGGCTGTGAGACAGCAAAGTAACTGTGTTCGTAAAGTGTTAACTCCTAAGAAAAAAGAGATTATTTATAATCATTTTGCAAAATGGTTAACAAGAAGGGGTTACAGTCAGAACTTAATAAGTGAGCAACTTAAACATGTTAATACTTATTTAGGCAGAGCAATATCTGGCGCAATGAAGCATGAAGGAATAATTGCGTCTGTAAAGAAAATCTTACCTATGGCACTAACAGAAACAAGTAATACAAAAATGTTAGAATGTGGTACAACGAGCGCAGAAGATTCTGATATAAATTAAAATTATATGCATACAGTTCAGTCATTTTGTGCCCTGCAATAAATGGAGTTGCAAAAATCGAAAATACACAAACTGGTTAGTTTAGCAGATTATTAATATTTAATGTAGCATTAATTTTTTACGATTTTTACGATTTTATAAGTTCTGAATGTTTTGCGTATAAGTTTTTGTAAAAGCTGTAACAGATACAATACTTTATTATTTAATTTACTTGAACAGTCAATTTCAAAATAGTAGATTTCTGTTACTTACAAAACTGTGGAAAACAAATTTCTATTATATTTGAAACAGTCACTTTGTCTAATATATATTAATTTTTATATAAACAGATCTCGACTTCGATATTGTACTTATTACCAATTTTCATTATTATTTTTTTCTTTTAGTTATATTTTATAAATCATATTTTATAACATGATTTTAGAGAGCAATGATGTGATATTTCATGTAATTTAGAGATTAAAATAAAGTGAAGTGAAGTTGAACTTAAGTTTGTCACACACCAGTCAAGAAAGTAATTTTGATTATTTTAAGAAATATAAGAACAACTATAATATTTTCCCTATATTTAACAATAATCCCACTTTATCTTTATAAAATTGCGACCGACTATTGTTTAATAAAATGTGTATGTTAAAAATGAGAAAATAAAGAAAATTCAAAAATATTGTTAAGTATACTTTTTTAGAAATTGTCAAAGAAACTATGTTCCTTTTCAGTGAAAGTCAGATTATTTCATATCGCCTTCAGATTACTCCGTAGAAAGTAAAATAATATTAGAAAACAATATTGGAATTTCTCTTCATTCTTCATTTAAATTCTAATCTTATATATTTCTCGGAAAATTTCAGTATTTTACAATGAATGCTTAGAGAAAAGAAAGAAATTGCATAATTACTCAGAAAATGAATACAAATTTTCATACAAACGCAGTTTTTTTCATTTTTGCGAAATCTGAAATGTTTTCTTATTTTTTCAAAAAGTGTTTCAATTTACTGAATTTTTCATAGTTTTGAAAGAAATTTTCATCAAAATATTTTCACTAGGGCCGTAATCATGTAATCATAATAGATTACAAAATATTTAATTCTGGCATATAATGTATATTTCAATCATATCACAATTTGGAAGAAGTACTTGTGCAGTATATTACGACTATCAAACATAGAAAATGCCATAAAGCACCGGGCGCTAAGTCCCTCAAAAATTAATGATAATCTCATCGCGCCATTTTTACCAATATCAACAATAGAAGCTATAAAACAGTTCGATGCATTATTAAAAACGTCGGATAAAGCAGTGACACAATTTGTAAATATAATGATGTATAGTATACATAAGTCGCGCGGCATATTGATTAAATTACAGAAATCATTCAAGATTTAATAACTGATATTTTATAATAATATAATTATTTAACAATATGCATAATTATCTCGATAAAAACATCACTTTAACTGTTTAATTAAACAAAGCTATACTATTAAAAAATTTCAAAGTATACACTTCTCTTGGAATATTACTCTATATTGCAGTGCTCGATTTTTTTATTCATATTAAATGTATTTGTTTCTTTTTCACAGAAAGAGTTTAAGTCAAAAACAGGCGGAAACAATGCTAAAGATAATCTGCATAGACTATTACAAAAAACATTAACAAATGAATGTGCACTAAAATGTTCGTGGAAAGGATTCAGAAATAATTTCAAAATCTCAAATTTATATTTCATAAAAATTATGAAAAGTATGTTATATATACGTTAGTGAAACTATAATGTCTCATTAATACGATTTTCTTAATTGCATCTATTATTTTTTTTTCTTTTCAGGAGAAGTGACATCGCGTTATACTGTATTTACTGTAGCCGATTTTGATGCTATAATAGCTGAATGGCTACGCTTTGCCAATCAGCGAAATAAAAGGGATACATCGAAAGAAGAACAATGATGACAATGATAGGGCATACATAAAACAATAATATTATTATATATTTATTTCTTATTATGTTATTAATATTACATATCTTTTTCGTTAGATTTTGAATTTTATAAATGTTATATTTTTTCCATTCGATTCAGAATATTATAAGTATTATAACTATTTCTTGTTCAGAATTTCTAAAACATAGTTTCTTAAACTGTTAATATTTATGTGCTTGTACGAATGTAAAAGTGTTCCATATACTCAAATTATATTGTAGGCTTAAATATAAATTATATTAATTAATATATATAAATATAAATATATAAATATAAATATTGGTTATAGCATTTTTCATTTGATTCCTATAATAATTTATCAATGCGAATTTTAGAAATAACTGATTTTTGAATTAATTCTAAATAAAACTACATGAGATTTTACAATATATGTATTAAAAAAATGTTACGATCGTATATCACTAAATATATGGTTAAAACTATATATTGATACACTATTAAATTTAATGTAATTTTGTTTAGAATTAATTTTAGGAATTAGTTATTTCTAAGATTCGCGTTTGGTAAAGAACATTTTCATAACGTGATTATATTACAATTTTATTACAATTAAAATAACAGTTACGTAACAGTTACATTACATACTTGTAATTATATATTGCAGTTATATAACAGTTTAGCAACTTATATAACTGTTATATTGCTTTATAATAATGAATATTACCGTTATATAACATTTTATTAACTTATTATGTTTATGTTATATAACTACAACTTCATATGAGTGGGAAATTGTAACTTATATACTAGGTATGTCGGTAATTACTTCCCGGTTTTTGTAACAAATGTCACTAGCCATAAGTATGCAATGTTATGATTTGATACATATGTCATTTTATTCTACTGACATTAACCTCAAAACTACACAAGTTACGTTCCGCCAAAATAACAGCGTTATAGATTTATAATTTTTTGAAAATGTCGAGTTTTGTGCCTGAAAATGTGCATTTGCGGCACGCATTACTTTTCTTGTTTAATCAAAAGAAAAAAGCCGCTGAAAGTCATCGTTTGCTGGTAGAGACTTACGGTGAGCATGCTCCAACCATAAGAACATGTGAAACGTGGTTTCGACAATTCAAATGTGGTGATTTCAACGTTCAAGACAAAAAACGTCCTGGTAGGCCGAAAACGTTTGAAGATGCGGAATTGCAGGAGTTATTGGATGAAGACCCAACACAAACTCAAAAACAATTGGCAGAAAAGTTGAATGTGAGCCGAGTAGCAATTTGTGAACGATTACAAGCGATGGGAAAGATCCAAAAGTTGGGAAGATGTGTGCCACATGAATTGAATGACAGGCAATTGGAAAATCGAAAAATCGTCGGTGAAATGCTGCTTCAAAGGTATGAAAGGAAGTCATTTCTGCATCGAATAGTAACGGGTGATGAAAAATGGATTTATTTCGAAAATCCCAAGCGAAAGAAATCATGGTTATCACCTGGCGAAGGCGGCCCATCGACTGCTAGGCCAAATCGCTTTGGTCGCAAGACCATGCTCTGTGTCTGGAGGGACCAGGTTGGTGTCGTATATTATGAACTGTTGAAACCTGGAGAAACAGTTAATACTGATCGCTACCAACAACAAATGATCAATTTGAACTGTGCATTGATCGAAAAACGTCCACAATACGCTCAAAGACATGATAAGGTGATTTTGCAGCATGACAACGCGCCGTCTTATACAGCAAAACCAGTCAAAGAAGTGTTGAAATCACTTGGATGGGAAGTTTTATCGCACCCGCCGTACTCTCCAGACCTGACTCCATCCGACTACCACCTTTTCGCATCGATGGGGCACGCGCTTGCAGAACAGTACTTCGCCGATTTCGAAGAAGTTAAAAAATGGCTCGATGAATGGTTTAGCTCAAAGGAGAAACAGTTCTTTTGGAATGGCATCCATAAATTGCCTGAGAGATGGGCAAAATGTATAGAATCAAATGGCCAATACTCTGAATAAATATATTTTAACTATCCATTGTAAATAACGTGTTTTCTTTAGCGAAAAAACCGAAAAGGAATTACCGACACACCTGGTATATGTTGCTGCAACATCCACGTTATATTACGTGTTATATTTTGTTATATTGAAGTAATGTTATTGTTATATATCTGTGTTTGCTGGGTATATACTACATGGGCTGAAAAGTCTTTGGCCTGACATACAGATGGTGCCACAAACTAAAAATCCTTATATTTCCTATAGAGTACCAACCTTAGCTTAGATGCTGTAAAAATTTCATGATATTTCGTTGACTCGTGTACAAGTTATAGCTTTCGAAGCGACGTTACCTCTGAATTTATCTTTACTATGGAAAAAAGTGAATTTCGTGTTTTGATTAAACATTGCTTCCTGATGGGAAAAAACACTGTTGAAGCAAAGGCATAAATGTTACGGCACATCTGCCCCACCGAATTCAACCATCAAATATTGGTTTGCTGAGTTTCGTCGTAACCGTACGAGCACAAATGATGCACCACGTTCAGGAAGGCCAAATGAGGCAGTTACTCCAGAAAACATTCAGAAAATCAGTGAAATCGTGTTGAATGACCGCAAAATGAAATTGAGTGAGCTAGCTAACATCATAGGCATCTCAACGCGTTGGTCATATCATTCATGAATATTTACACATGAAAAAGCTTTGCGCGCGTTGGGTGCCGCGTTTTTTGACAATTGAGCAAAAAGCGGAACGTGTTCGACTTTCAAAGCAAAATCTGGCCCTGTTTAACCGCAATAAGAAGGAGTTTTTGCGTCGATTTGTCACAATGGATGAAACATGGATCCATCACTACACACCGGAGTCCAATCGGCAGTCAGCGGAGTGGTTATTGTCTGGTGAAAGCCGTCCGAAGCGCCCGAAGACACAACAATCAGCCGGCAAGGTTTTGGCCAGTATTTTTTGGGATGCGCATAACATAATATTCATTGATTATCTTGAACATGGTAAAACTATTAATAAAGAATATTACTGTACATTACTGGATCGATTGGATGACGAGGTCAAAGTCAAACGGCCACATTTGGCAAAGAAAAAAATTTTGTTTCACCAAGACAATGCTCCAGCTCACTCGGCTCGCGATACGACCGATAAATTAAAGAAATTGCGCTATGAATTGGTCCCGCATCCCCCATATTCTCCAGACCTGGCCCCCAGCGACTATTTCCTTTTTCCCCGACTGAAGCAGTGGCTCGCCGGTAAAAGATTTTACTCGAATGAGGAGGTCAAGTTGGAAACAAATGCCTATTTTGAGGGACTTGACACCGAGCACTATAAGACCGGCATCGAAATGTTAGCGGACCGTTACACTAAGTGCATTACTCTAAATGGAGATTATGTCGAGGAATAAAACACTTTTCATTAAAAAAATCGTTTTTTCATTGTTAAGCCAAAGACTTTTCAGCCCATGTAGTACAGGGTGCACGATTTATCTGAAGATATTGAAATATCTCGAGAACTATGCATTGGATAAAGAAAAGTGTTTAATGAAAGTTGTTAGTCTCGAAGGGGGACATCCAATGATACCAAACTCGACCTCCCACCCCACTCCGTGGGGGTGGGGGTTGGGGGCAACTTTGAAATCTTAAATGGGAACCCCCATTTTTTATTGCAGATACGGATTCTACGCCACAAAATACGTAAATTTTGTCCGAAACTTTTTTTTTATTCGTGATAGATGGCGCTGTAATCGCAAAAAATTATATTTTCCGCAATTCTCCAGAAATGATCATTGGATTGAGAAATAAAAAATACCTGTTCAATATTTTTAAAGAACATAATAAAAGTTATTCCCCCCCTCCATCCTCTCGGGGTAGGGTGGGTGATAACGTTCAAATCTCAAATGGGACCCACATTTTTCATTGCAGAATTAGATTGTACGTGAAATTTTTATTGAAACAATTTTTTTCATTCGTGATAGATAGCGTTGAATTTTATTATATTATTTATTAAAGGATCAATAAGTGTATTGAAGTTGAAGGTAAAAATTTCGAACACTTACTCTAATTAATTGAACAGTGAGAGGCAAGGGGACTCACATTAAAAAAGCACCCGATCTATGAGAGGCAAGGGGACTCACATTAAAAAAGCACCCGAAGGGAACATAAAACTACTACGTCCTCGTCGTTGTTCCTGTGTAACGCTAAAAGTAGTTTCTCGGAAAAATTCAACGCTATCTATCACGAATGAAAAAAATTGTTTCAATAAAAATTTCACGTACAATCTAATTCTGCAATGAAAAATGTGGGTCCCCATTTGAGATTAGAACGTTATCACCCACCCTACCCCGAGAGGATGGGGGGGGGGATAACTTTTATTATGTTCTTTACAAATATTGAACAGGTATTTTTTATTTCTCAATCCAATGATCATTTCTGGAGAATTGCGGAAAATATAATTTTTTGCGATTACAGCGCCATCTATCACGAATCAAAAAAAAAGTTTCGGACAAAATTTACGTATTTTGTGGCGTAGAATCCGTATCTGCAATAAAAAATGGGGGTTTCCATTTAAGATTTCAAAGTTGCCCCCAAGCCCCACCCCTAGGGGGTGGGGTGGGAGGTCGAGTTTGGTATCATTGGATATCCCCCTTCGAGACTAACAACTTTCATTGACCACTTTTTTTTATCCAATGCATAATTCTCGAAATATTTCAATGTCTTCAGATAAATCGTGCACCCTATATATAACTAATTTTATTGATTCCCCTTAGGGTTACAATTTTCTTATATTTCTCTTCTCTATCTTATCCTACTTAATTCTATCCTCTCCTATCCTTTTCTTTATTTATACACACACACACTCTACGCAACTCCCTCTCCTATTCTGAACTTCCGTTGCCGTTTACAATTTATCTTCCCTAATCTCGTCCTCCTCACACTCATCCTTCCACTCACTCCTCCCTTCCCCCCTCACCCCATCCAGCCTCCTTAACCATTTCTCCCCCTCCCCCTCCTCCCTCAAAACCTCCCTCGCCATCTCCTGC